TATAGCAACTAGGTTTTATTATATTAGTGTTTAGAGAAACTCGTAGCTAAACATAAAATTCCTTTCGCTGCTATTAAACACGCTTGCAATTAAGTGATTATTTGCATAATAAGTTAATGTTAAGCATAATTTTCTTATTAAGTATTTACTGGGTTTAAGTTTAAATTGTGTAGGAAAAGGAAATTGTCGCTGTGCCTGCGGCGTTAGATGGTGAATGTCGGTAATCAGTGATCTCACGCATGCGCTGTACCGACATGCGCCGGCGCCGATGGCTACGTCACTTGAACGGATGTTTCGCTAGCTAGGTGGCTGGAATAGGCTATTAAAAAAGGTTAAATAAAGTAAATAAATATCAAGTGTATAATTAAGTGTTACTTAAAGTCAGTCCTCATTTTATTAATTATTAATTAATGGTTGCCACGGATTATCTGTTATTCTCAACGATTATTTGAGGTGCATATATTATTAAATGTAAACACTCATTCTTCATCAAATGCATTAAGAGTCTCCTATAACAAGGCGCGACAAAATTAACACCTAACGCTATCCGATTATAGAATTACAATACTTGCTTGATAATATTTTGAAAACTAAACAACCCATACTAGTGTTCCTAACTTTCAAACGATGCCTTTTGTCGCTTCACGACATAGTTGACAAGTAAACAAACTTATTATATTCAGAACACTTCTATCCATTTTATGATACTAGTATGACGTCAAGTCACGACTACATTGCATAATGACCTATTTGTAATAGACAATAAGAGCTAATCACCAATTAATTTAAACGGAATAGATCAATAAATTCAGAGCAATACAACAAATCTCAATCTACAATTTCACCATTATGTTAGTTTATTATGTTATAAAATGTTACTGAAACCGATTAATTTTTTTTTTTTTTTTTTTTTTTTTTTGTTTACTAGTAAAATTCAATACTTTCGAACTGTCAAAAACAACAGTTTCCTATGAATTTTGTGCGAGATTGTGTATTGTGACGTCACACGTTTTTTTAGCATCAAACAGCATATTTATTTCTTAAAATTTTGCTGCAAGAATGCTAAAAGTAAGATGGATATAAAATCAATTAATAATAGTGTGATTGATGAAAGTGTACTTTTAAATGTTTTATTGTATTGAACAGTCGAAATAATTTATTTTTGATTAAGATACAATACAATATACAATTTATACAATAACCCACAGAACTCATATATGTTCTGTGGTATAAACTTAATACATTTAAAACCTTTTTTGAGTAATATCTCGTTACCCCACACTAGGATTATTTCCCGTGCCATGAGTACAATTACTAAGCCTTTGGCTAGGCTAAACGGATAAGTAAGCTGAAGTAGCAATGGGCTGGTCACATTTTGTCGAAGAACCGATACCCGTCGGGGTATTCTAGAGTGAAGACCGTTTCTAGGCAAACGTAGTGTAGGGTGCTCTCCAGCCAGGTGGAGTGACGACATCCACAAGGTGGTTGGCAGTGGTTGGATGAGAAGAGCTGAAGACCGAGCTCAGTGGCGTGCTATTGGAGAGGCATATGTCCAGCAGTGGACGAATACGGGCTGATAATGATGATGAGTGCGTTTACAATTGGGTAATTTCCTGGGTCAAAAATAAATTATTTTGATTTTTTAGTCCAATTAAATATTTAAAAATACACTTTCATTGATTGATTTGTCGATATACTTAATTTTCGATTTATTCTAGCATTATTTTAGATATAAGTGTGCTATTTGACGCGAAAATATGATGACGTCATAAGGTGGTATTTCGTGCAAAATTCATAGAACAGTATCGTTTTTGACATTCCGACAGAAGTATTGAATTTGACTAGTTGTCAACTACCCTATTATAGCCTATGCACATTAACCTCAGTCTCTAAAAAAACATTTGTAAATCACAGTAATATTTTTTCCAGTGCGAGGAAGAAAAATTGCAACATGTTGCGTAGTATGGGTCTGCAACATCTATCATTGGCGTAGCAACCCTGGTCATAATAGAATTATAAAATATCTCTATTTAATATGTTTATCACCTCTAATATCGATAAGTGACTCCTAATAACTCTATTGTGCTGATACATAATCGAAATTTCTTTAAAAGATTATATTGCTTTCACTGCATAAACAATGCTAATTTTTATGTCAAAATTTTATGACAATCACATCTCCAGCTAAAAGCTTTTAATGTGAATTAGATGCAGATAATTCAGGTTTGGAACGGTATTCCTATATCTGAGACAATTTCAGATAAAAAAATCAATTCCAAATGGCGGATTTTAGGCGCCATGTAGGTGCCGGTAACATAAAACGATGCGAAAACATCGAAACAAGACTATAAATATTCAATTTGGCGAAATAATTTCAAAGAAAACAACATTTAAAAAAATGTTTTTATTAATAAAACTCGTGGCTAAGCAACACCTACGCAGAACCGCTCTTGATGCGACAATTTTTAACATATTCAAATCTACAGAGAGTAATTTAATCTGTTGCGATTGTCGTAAACCCCTTTATGATATTTAGGCATACCTATGTAGTTATAAACAGTTAAAAACGAACTATGTATGGTTAGTCGTTCTAATTAAGTCCAAGCAACGAAGATTCATGAGAACTTTCCATTTCCAGGTCAAAAATTATGGCAATTATTCCGTTCAAACACGAAATACCCTACATAGTAACTCATACTAGACACTGGATAGAAGATGGCATCTATCAACTACTTATAGTCACATCATTCGAGGTTAGCTATACATAGTGTAACCATGTAAAAAGGACCATGACTTCCAGCCTGACAACTGCCAGAGGGCAAAGTACCATCTACAAACAGCCACAACGAGCACCCGCCACACAAATCATTATCACGTAATAAACAATACACTAAATAATTTACGATTACGGCGCCTGCGTCCTTGTGCCACAGTGTTGCAACGATTGAATAGTTTATAGAGCAGACGGTACCGCTTCAATACTCAATAGACAATTCATCTAGCTTTATTGCGTTCGCAAATAATACGTATACAACAGACACAACACACAAACGTAGCCTCAATATTACATAGTGGACAAAATTACAAAATTTAAGTGTCCAATATTCCTAGGCATTACATCACGAATCGGTTTCAAATGCACCTTACAATGCCATGTTTATGTACAAATGGGATGCCTAATGACAAACTGAGCGGAACAAAACAACATGTACACTGTTCAGTATGACGTCAAATCCTAAATATAGTTAGGAATCATAGTTCGCCCGTGACCGTAGACCGATATAAAACTCGAAATAATTGTATAAACGTTGGAATGCCAATAAAAGTTTAGGTGTTTTTATTACTTTCCGTAATAGATATATCTTGGCCATGACATAGCATTTGGTAAATGATGATGTTCCGGAGCTGTTTTTGGGTATGGCGACTACTTGCGAATGGTCTTTGCTACACAAATAAAGCTGGACAGTTTTCTGATGATCTCAGAATCTCTCCGCTCGTTGATATTACCTGTCTTGGCAAAGAACATATGGCCAAATAAGTGTTGATCTCACTTCAATAAAATAAAATATAAAATCAAAATTTAAATTAGGTAAGCGCCCTCATAGAGCGTACACTACAATAAATAATATCACGTCTCTGATCCCGACGGATGTCACTGAAATATCAGATCGATTACCGTTTATTTTTTCAACAATTTGGAACAATTCCTTAGCAAAATGTCTGTCAATTTCTTAATAAATATGTTGTAACATACATTCACTGCTAAAGTAAAGTGACAGGACATAGTATCCCCGATCTGATCCAAGCATTCATTTACCTGAAACGTGGTCTGCCTATAAATACGTTAAATTGAACCACAATTTGCATTAATGTGACAACTATAAGTCTAAAAAGGATTATGTTGATATTTCTAAAATATAGTTGTCTTAAGAATTACGAAGTAAAACTAGAACAGCTTATGAGATTAGCTTAAAATATACCCGTATTAAAATATCGAAAAGGCAATTTTGTGGAAGTTTGTAAACAACTTTATTTTAAGTAGACAGAAATTACTTAAATCCTTTGAAATGTTGGTATTTCAACGTCTCCCAAAGGACCAATTATTGTAAGACCTACCCTTTTTGTATCCAGGTCCTTTATTCCTTTATTCAGTCGTATATTTACTTACGTACTTATGCGACCACGTAACAATTTCTCACGGGACTCTTATAAATGATATACAGAGCATCCTAAAGAGAATTTTTTGTCTACCAAACAAATAAGACACGTAATAAAAATAAACCACTCATTTGTTTGGATCCATACATTTAATAAAACTGTAGAAGTGTGAATTATGTACATTGAAAATAGGTATTAAAAAATAAATAGTATTACTAAATATACACTGAACCCAAAAGTATAATTAAAAAACTTTTGTCTGTCTTTCTGTCTGTCTTTCTGTCTGTCTTTCTGTCTGCCTTTCTGTCTGTCTTTCTGTATATGTATGCTCGCAGATCACGCAAAAACTACCGGTCCGATTACCTACGATGAAACTTGGTAAGATATGCTTGATATACTTCAATATGCTGAGCATCACACTGGCTAGTTTTTAGCCCCAGGAATGCCAGCGAAGCCGCTAATAGACGCTAGTATAAAGTAACAAAAGAATAGTCTCCTAAAGTGAACTAAGGCAGTACTAACGAAGCTGATTTATGATGCTGAAATACTGTAAGGATATGTTTTCGGATTCAATATAAATTTAAAACAAGGTTGGAGAAAGTATACTGAGTTTTTTTTTAAATTCTTAGTAGTAGCACGGAGTCTAGAATTGTGCCCGCTATGTGGCAATAGGCTCACCCCCTATTACATGAGGCTTATAACACAAATAGTGAAAAGTGGGTGTTCATTATACAAGGGCATAATGTGCTCTTCTGCCTACCCCTTCGGGGATAAAAGGTGTGAGTTATGTTATGTTCAATGAATCTAAAGTTACATTATGTGCTATTAAAAATGTCACTAACCTTACAAGTTCCTTGGACACAAATGGCTCGGAATCCTTGTCTGGTGCACGGAGTCCCATCAGCTACTAATGATAACGATGCATAGAAGTGCTGACCCAAAGGTCTGCAGTTCAGCGTACATGGTGCATTACCTAGAGAAGAAATAAAATATTTAATACTTGATATTTAGAAAATGTGTTCGCAACTTTTGAAACCGTAAATAAATTAAATGTAGTAGTTTTTTGCATCTTAAACTATTATTAAAACTATGGTATTATTAAAACTATGGTAGAAATGGTATGGTGTGTTATGGTTAAATTTCGATTTTATTCCTGTTCACTTTCAGAGAAAATCAATATATTTCAGATATTTCATATTGTGTATTTGCTAACAACATTTTTGCTAACATTTGCTCCTTAAAGTTTAAAATATCAACCACAAAAAAAAAGAAACTAATTCCGGTGTCAAAAACAAATGAGGCACTTAGTAGCCGACATTCGACAAATGAAAACAAAAAAAATACAGGCACATTACATTTTATTAATGGCCATCAACAATTCAATTTTATCGTCGATATACAAAAGAGGTTGCAATTCTGACAGATTATTGGCGCGCAAATTGACAGAACAAGCGTGTCAAATGCGCAGACAAGCGGTGTAATAATGTTAGATTAGCTGTCAACACACAATTAGTATGTTCTCTTTTTCAGTCGCAACTGTTTTGTTCTTGCACATTATGTACGAATTAGATATTTATTCGAGTAAGTCTAGCCAGTATTATTGTAGTTACTGATTGATACCTTTAAACATATTTTTGTCGTAATATTTAAGGACTCAAGATTTAAGTTCCTATACCATCTAATACTCTAAAGACACATAATGTGTGGTATTAAAAAGTTAAATTACTTCCCAAAAAAAAGACTGGAACACAATAATCTGACTTTTATTTTAATAACATCTTATTTTCAGTGTCATAACCACAGAATTATTTCCAAATCAATTATTAAACTAACTACAACTGAGAATTACGATTTCAAAAACTCTAAATAGGTAATAACACTTTTTAGCCTACCCAAGAATTTAACCCTGAACCCATCAAAGTCAAAGTCAAAATCAAAATCATTTATTGAAATTGGACCAGGAAGGCACTTTTCAATGTCAAAACAAATATTGCAATATTTAAAAAAATACTCAACTAATGTATTTTTTTAATATTGCAACTAAAGGCGGGCTACTAAACTAAGTCCTAAGCCAACATTTTAGGCCGCTTTAGTTGCCCGGAGGTTTGAGTAGTTATTCAACATGTTACAACCACAAACTAGATAAATTAGGATCCAAAATAAACAAGTTCTACAGCAAATGCTAACATTTATGAGTTTACATTCACGAGTAACGAATGGCAGAGTTTATTTATGCATGTGTATGCATAATTGCATAATTTCATATTTACGTCATTCGCTGTTTGTATCGTTCTGAATATAAGGTCAATGACAGCTAGATAGTCACTGTTACATTTGATATAGTCGTATTGTTTTAGAAATATAAGACTCGATTTAATGTGTACTACCTATGTCTACAAACAGTTTTCGCATGAATGTAAAATTTCATAGAAAGCTCGATCATGTAAAAGCCCAGCAGTTTAAAATCGTAGTGGTTGTTCTTATATACAACAACGAGGACCAAAATCATGCAAAGAGATTTCGTAGTTCACTCTGCCTAGAACTTGAATTAATAAATATAGATAATGTAATCCTTCAGAGTTGGTGTAATTATATTATAGAATGCACTACCCTATAATATAAAAATGACTCCAAACAAAATGGCTTTTAAACGTAGTGTTCGTGAGGCCTGTTTAAAGGCGCTACAACGCTGAGTTTGTGTCTTCGTCAATTTATATTTTATTTTAATTATATTTATGTACACATTTTGTAATTAATTATATATTTTTATATATGGTATGTTATGTTATACAGTACCTATTTATAATAACTATTCGTTATTTATTTTGTTTTTTTTTTGCATATTTGATAATTTTGGACTCAAAAGTTGACTGGGAGAAAATACCATATGGCATTAAATCCCCCTTATTATGTACCTTATTTTTGTGTGCATTAAAGAGTTAATAAATAAATAAATAATGTAGGTATAAATATAATCAACATTCTTTGCCCAATACCTATTTGGTATGATTTTAGATTTCTAGCTTAACATAATATCATTAACTGAGTTAAAATCATACATATCCACTATTAAATCTAGAAATGTATTTAAGAAAGTCACTAACCTATTTCAAAACAATAAATATAGTTACTACCTACTTACCATCAATATAAGGGACCCAGGTATAGAACCTGCCACGGAATGGTCTCCTGTCGAATGCAGCACACTGCGCAGCGCGATTGCCCCTCGTAGCACCAGGACACGGCTATAACAAAATATAAAAAAATAATACTGTAAACGTTAAAAAAATATTTATTTCTATATGAGTCTAATTTAGCTACCAGAGAGGATCAAAAACCTTTTGTTATGATTTGGTTCTAATTATTAATTATCTTTAACCCAACCTTATACGAATAAGAGCCTAAAACAAAATTAAATCAAGTAACAACTACAGTCATAATATCCGATAACTTCAGCACTCTAGAAGAAAACCCTAAAACCTTAGAATTTTTGATTGCCAATGGAAAACTGTTGAAGGCAATTCCTCTGCTAACGTCGGTCACCGGTGACCCCAATGGCGTTTAACGTGTTAAGCACTCAAAAGTAATTTCAATTCCCGAAATAATCAGCCATTAGACGAAAATAAAAATCAAAACAAAAGAAAAATAAAAAAATACTTAAAGGATAGAAAAGACAAATGATAACAACCTTCTTATCATAATTTAAGTCAGAAACAGATGTCAGAGCCAACCCAAGCTGTCAACAACTGTCCTGATTGTTTACAGAGTGTTTTTCTCTTATCATAATATCTACCTACTTTCTTATGACTGGTCTCTTCAAATCAGAGTAATGGCTGAACATAAAATAATATACAGACTAAACTTTCGATAAAATAAACAATTCTTTTTTTAAATAGGTCGAATAATCTTTTTTGAAAGTGTCAAACTTAAAGAGTGGCTGTTCCAATTTTAAAAAGTTTCATCCAGAGTATGAAATTCTATCCGACAGCCTGGCTGTGATGAAATAAAAATAGACTATCAGGGAAAACCAAGCTCCAATCGTGTTAAAAAACTTAACCCAAAATGGGTTAATAGAACCAAGTCTCTATCCTACTATCGTTAGACTACAATTTGGTGAAAATAATACATTTAATATGGTCTCAGAGAAGGTTTTACTATCTCATAATAAACCTCATATGGGGTTAAGCCTCAGATCTCACAGTAAGATATCTTTTGCCATGCATTAGAGGTTTTACGAGTACATGTATTTGATTACTACATTACTCAAGGACTTGTGTTACCATGTGAACTATTCCTTATCTATGATACCAACTCCACTTCAAATGCGTTTGTAAGCACAAAAAAGAAAATGTTACACTCTAGGTCCTCGGTCGTCCCCCTATGTCGCAATGTGTAGCCCAAATTAATAACAATTATTTAAGCTTCACAGTATTGTTTTTTTATATACCACGACGGTAGCATAAAAGCACACGTCTCACCTGATGGTAATTGGTTACCGTGGCCTATGTACGCTTGCAACACTTGGGGCATTACATGCGCCTTGCCAACCCTTAAAAAACCTATTTACTCCCTTCTTGAAGAACCCCATGTTGTAGCCAATTGGGTTAAAATGGCATGGTCACAATAGTCCATGAGCAGCATAATGATTGTCAACAGCCAGCGACAGGCATACTGCTATGACCTCCTCTACATAAGACCTGCGTAAGGTGGGAATAGTGGTTTAAAAGTGTGGGAGAGCCATGCTTCGACATGAATGAGCCGGCTCGACCGGAGTGATACCACGGCCTCACACAAGACCGACGTGAAACAACGTTGGGTTGAGTTTCGTGTGAGTGAGGTTACCGGAGGCCCAATTTCACCAATCCCTGAATCCCCAACAATCCTCAAATTTGTAATCCAGAAGGCCGGTAACGCACTTGTAACGCCTCTGGTGTTCCAGGTGCCCATGGGTGACTACGATTGCTTACGTCTGGTGATTCGTCGGCTCGTTTACCGCCTTATCCCATAAAAAAGGGATCCAGAAGTCCAAGTAGATTAAATACACAGAAAACTATGATTTATTAATGTAGGTAAGTAATATTTATACGCCTCTGTTCACTTTTATAATCTGTTCTTTGTCAAATAGCAAAAACCTAGCACTTTAAAGTCAACATTTACACCGTCCGTGACTTACCAAATTGAATAGAACAATGCTAATCAAGGAAACTTTTACGATGTTCGCACTCGTAAATCAGTATTCATTGCTTAGCTAGTAAGTACCCGTATAAAGGACTTCGGTACTTTATGCCCTTTATAAGTGCCTTGCTATCGAACAAATTGTTGTTACTCATTTAGGTTCTTGTAACTGGGAAATGGTGCATAGATTTCTATTCCTGGTTTTATTTACCTTAAATGTTTAATTACCATTTCATATGAAAGCTGTTTTTAATTAAAGCTTTTATTATCAATTTGTCCTTTATAAAATTGAACAGCAAATGATTAGGTTACTGAGTCATCGTTTATTATCCGTGGAAACGAATCTTAGGTAGCCATATATCGGGTACAATTGCAGACTCCATGCTACTATTGAGATTTTTTTTAAAAACCCAGTACTACTTTACCCGACCCGGGAATCGAACCCGAGATCCGCATTTGCGACTACTCGGCACATAACTCATTAGAAATTAATTATCTTACAATATCATTGCACTCATGATATCGTTTGTCGACTCCTTGGCAGTTGGGCTCATGTGTCTCCCTCGTCACCCTCACTGTGATCACCGGTGGAGGTATACTGCTGTTGTCCAGCGGAGGAATGTTCCTGACCCTGTAACAAATAGAAGTTAAGATTAATTTCATTCATCATAATTATTCTACATACGTCAATATCATACTAAGGTTCAATAGTAATATAAAGAGATCCATTAGAAACTGAAGGTGAGCGACAATTCTAAACACCACGAGTTGTCAGGAACACAAGAAAAACCCAAAAATCCCTACAACACCTCCCCCGAAATGAGAATCGAAGCATTTGCAACCACTTGACCAACATATTGTTATTATTTAGCAAAGTACCTACTCAAGGAATATTAAAGCTGTAGGGTATTAAGTATTTTACCTCTATATGCAAACAGACAGTAGCCCAACTTTGGTTTCTAGGGTAACCATGTAGTATCTTCCTAAATGTACCTCAGTAACTATACAAACACTTATAATAATGTGTCCGTTATATTAGGCCCAAGTAAACAATGTTTGCACAGCTTTTATTTACTCTCGTCCTCGTTACTTTTAGAAATCACAAAATGTGAGCAAAATTCTGACTGAATACATCCTCATACAGACTTCATGACTAATTTATGAACACACCTACGTCATCATAAAAATCAAATATGAATATTTTCTACACCTAATATTTGTGTGTCCTTAATTAAAGAACAGAAAGGCTAATCTACAGTTCAAACAAATATAATATCCTATCGAAGTAACTGCATCTATTATAAATGTATTGAATAGGTAATGTCCTACATCTGATCCTATAATTGAACCAACCCAAATGTAATTCTAAGTATCCACAATTATTTTATTACACCAACGAGGTAACCCTAAATAATAAATTACCCTCAAACATGTCAATATTAATTAAAAATCATAAATCTAACGTTGTAATTACGTTAATATTTTATATCTAAGAAACAAAACAAAACATTCGAGCCGGTAAACACAAAAAGCTTCATTAATGAAATCAACGAAGCCGCTAACAAATACCAGAGAACACGTTAATCTAATTTGGTGGTAGTTAAAATAAAAGTTAGTGATGTATCGTCGAAATCGTTCCACATTACCGGGCGGACTTTACAAATGTTACCCCACTTATAAAAGGACCAGAACATTAATATAATGTAAACTCAACCACGAATTTGAATATTCATGTTCACGGACCAAGATTAGTTCCGCTTTTACATTTATCTAGGCTCTTTAAAAAGATAAGTACATCACTACGTTCTTGGCGCCATTAAAAAGATGACACCTAAAGATTACTTTATGGGAGTTTGTAATTAAAAGAGATGGTTGAATGCTGCAATGGTCTCTCCTATCTGAATGCAACTTCTTGATACAAATTAAGCGATTACGTTTTATCATCTTACATGGTAAGGTGAGGTTGTAAAGGCTTAATGTGAACTCCGTTAGGTGCATGGAAACCTTACATTGATGCAGCTTTAAAAAGCAATGGTCGTCACTATATTACTGGTTTTATTCGCATGAGAAACTGAGTTTTATGTCCCTCTAAAGATAGGCCGAAGAAAGGTTTATCCGTTGGATTATTTATAGTATTATACGTATATGTCTTCGTCGTCTTTGTCAAAAACAGTAACTGTAGGCAAATACAGAACCACTTTTTTCGTTTATTATATAATTAGCCCTTTATCACAGAACCCGTACCTATTACTCTACATAAACGCAAGACAATTCAAGCTCTTCATTTTTAGGATTACACAATTTGAAAATAAGAAAATCTATGTCCCCGGACAAAGACCAATAACATGTTATAAAGGACCAAAATTGTTGGTGTTAATAAAAGTGTAGATAAAAAAAATAGAACATGATAGAACAAATTTTCCTAGCTACAAGCTACAAGCAACAGATAGGGAGCAATAATTTATACATGACTTTATTGCCCACCAAATGTAATGCGCGTGCGCTGTGCACCAGACTCCCATGACAAATGACATTCATTCTAATTTGTCGAGCATGGTTACACGATGTAGTATCAGCAGGATACTATCGACCGCCTGTTTGTGTGTTGGTGCAACTGTACATATAAAATGGAGCTTTGCAGCACGTCATAACTTGAAAACGACTGCACTGAATTGTATATACTGTTTTTATGGTTACAACAAGATTTGTATAATAGAAAATTCTTGTAAAAATCTTTATTGTAAAGGATTATCTTTAGAATAAAGATTTTATTAGGTAAAACCTGTAAATTCACCTGGACTGGACTACTCAGAGCTTTATCGGAAAGGACTGTTAGTGAACAATACACCTTATTCCAACTGTGTTAGAGAATATTGAGAAATTAATTTGATTAATTATAATCATTATAGATAATGTGTTCGAGTCGAGTCTGCTACAATGTTATTTTGTGATAATATAATTTGTTACTATAATAAAACACAATACTGTTTTTGGAATTTAGATCCTTCTTCAAACTTTAGATGGTACAAAGTAAGTTTAATTAGGGATTGTGTATCTGATGACTTTATGTTAAAACAGAAGTGGTCCTTTGATCCGATCCGAAGAAAATATTACCTGGAATTACAATATCTATTTTACAAAACACCGCCAATTTTCAGTTGTGCCCGTAGTCATGAAAGATGTTCTAAATATGGTACTTAAGTTTTAGAATCCATCTTCGAATTAGATAAATCTATTTTCTTGGGATTTCTCTTAAAATATTCATATTAATTTAGTTTCTCTTTCCATACGTAACGCTACATGTTAGCGACTACATGACAGATACGTATTTAGTCTAGTCTGGTTTGAGACCGTTAAAGCGCGGCGCCGCTGGCGGCACCCACTAATTAAGAGTGACGGTATTTTGATTACCTACTTATCTATCTAACAGGACTCCGTATCTGGCCGTATTAATCCTGGATCCTCGGCTCGTTACAATTATCTCGGTTCAAGCATTCATTTGTACGTAAATAGCCTGACCTGATTACCACTAACGGTTCAAATAATCTGTTTGGATTATTAATTATCATTTGACTGATGGATCCAACGCTGGTTTTAACAAGCCTTTTTAATTATCATTTAGCCTTTTGATATTCAATTTAAGGGTCATTTAGGTGTTAATATCGGATTTGTGAGCATAAATCTCAGTCAGACATTCTTCGGTCGTCACATTGACCCGTGACCAGCACTCGAGTCTCGCATCGCCGCCATGGGAATCGGCCCCCGTGACAACACTACATTCAACTGACGTTCTGACGTCAATTACCACATGTTAAAAAAGCAATCCCTCATTAGCGCTGCAACTACAAATATGTAGACAAAATGAAGTTTGTCTTCTTTTAAAATGGACGGTAATCGCGAGCTCATTACCGGCTATATCGGAGCTGATGCGTGTCAATCAAGCGGGCGAGTGCAAGCAATCAATGCTCCCAACAATAACTGCTTGTTACAAGCCACGCTACGGGGTTTCCATTACCTTAATTTACTCGATAAAAACCGTACGAGTCGGGTCGCGGGGCATGTTTAACCTTTAGCCTGAGCACACGTTAGAAGCTTTTACACTTGGCGAATATTTAATGTGGCTCTCAACTCAAGAGTAGCCAAGAAGTGCTTTCGAATAATAGAGTGACAAATTAATCTTGTATTCGTATTTAGGACTCTATGTAAAGAGAAAGGAGGTATTAAATTGAATTGAACAATTCATTGATCTGTAAATAACAGTTGTAATAAGCTCATGGACTTCTGTAACCTAAGAATCGATACAGACATTAGTTTGGACACTGTCAAAACATATTAAGTTCTTTGATTTTAAAATTCCTGTCCCTATTTTTTGTATCTACATGTAGGACTGATGTCAACTAAACGTGATTTTTCGACTTCTGGTTTGGTGTGGTGTTTAGGTACATAATGTACCTGTCTGTGCATAGAAATGTAGTAATATTAACGCTTCTATAACTACCTGGAAGTCAATAAGCCTTGATTCAAGGACATTACTTGTCTTCAGGACCTACAAATTTAACTGAACCGAGCACCTTGGTGCAGTGACTACGGTCGTAAGGTAATCTCAGGAGATAAACAATATTAATTATCTTATCCTGACTAATAGACCACCAACATCAAAGCTAATAAAATAATTGCGGCCACCGAACTGATTCAGGTTCAAACGCCGTCAGATCACTAAATTGCATATGTCAACGGTTTGATAAACGCAAATGAGATAGATCTAATCGCCGATGACAGCCGAATGCCACCGAAGTCGGGGCCGAAGCAATCTTAATTAAACACTTGAATATTTTCTAGTTGATTAGAATTTTTGTACTGGTTATAGAGAAGGTACATAGTAAATCATACGCCTATTTACTACTGCTACAATTATTATTATTACATACTGACAGATGTTAATTGATAAGTGGAGCATGCTCAATGGAGTCAGATTCGTGTTTTTTATTTCGCAACTGATTTTATTATTAGTGTGTTTATTGATATAGTTATTTATTGTAAGTGACTGTTCGTGGGTTCTTAAGTTCGATAGCAAAGTAAATTACTCTATGAGTTCTAAGTCCTTGATTTAAGGCGAATTCTTGTCAAAATCCTATGCTGATCCATATATTTTGGATTTCAAGTTATAGATATTTACTATTGTCCGTACAATGTTATTGAATTTCAAGTCCACGGCATTGATTTACGATATGTTATAAAAATAATCCACATTATGACTGACGATGATTTGATCCAAGATTAAATGTTTTGCCGATCCGATAAATCTGACAGTATAAAGCGGGCTTTAACGTATTAATATAATGGCCGTGTAAAATATTAGTGTTTACAATTTTTGCTTTACGCGCATTATATTGTTATGAGATATTAACGTGGTCTGATCGCTGTCGGCGCGGCGCCTTCGCGAGTAATTTGTTAACTTATAAACGGTTATTTTATCATTAAATTATTATATAATCGTGCGATGCAAATCTTGGAAATCAATTGTACCTAGGTATATAATTATTTGTCGATTTATATTATTACTAGCGACCCGCCCCGGCTTCGCACGGGTGCAATATGTATATACATACAAACCTTCCGTAAGAATCACTCTATCTATTAAAAAAAACCGCATCAAAATCCGTTGCGTAGTTTTAAAGATCTAAGCATACATACGGACATACAGCGAAAGCGACTTTGTTTTATACTATGTATTGATGTCTAAATAGACATAATTATTATTGTTTTATTTCTATGTTTATAAGAATGTGTGACGATGGTTTATATGTTTACGGGCGTAGGTAACGATGATTTTATAAATAATTTGAAATAGTCATAATGAACAACAGGTACAAGTGAATGTATAGCCACATTTTTGAGATCTAGTTAACTGATGAAATTTTCTGATATAATAAATTAAAATGACATTTACGTCTTTATCACAGAAGCCAATCTTAAATCAACATTTATCTATTTTTTGGGAAAATATTAACAATACACATACAATTTACGTAACACAGAAATCAAAGATAGTTATGACAGCAACTACAACACACCATCAAACCAATTAAATAAAAAAAAACCATTTTAATTAAACCAAATACCGTTCTTTTTGACAATTCAGGTTATTCATCTCTGTCACCAACTCCATATTTGTCAACAATAATGTTTCTTCAGGACATTACCTTACAATACATACATAGTTATTCGTCATCGTAAATACAAGCTTATGTGTTTAATCTAAGAGTTGATATTCACTTGTTTGTCGTATAATGAAGTCATTTAGCAGAACGTTATTTGCTACTTTCTGAGGTTAACAATACCTACAAAGTTTTTTACGAAGAGGCAATGTTTAGTTTGCTCTTGGATTAATACAAAAATATACTGAGTAATGTTGTTCCCATGTGTTTGTTTTATCCTACATCTCTGTTTGATGATAAAAGGATGTTTGTCTTTAAGATTTCTATTATTCTTACTTTAGCCCTATTCGTGACATTTGGTTTTCATAATAACACCAAGCTGTACTTTTAATTCGTTATATTTGGAAACCAAGAGTTCATTACAGAAGAGAAAATACTAGCGTCAAAGACACACGTAGCGACATCTATCGGAATACTTCTGAACTAACCCTACCCATGTTTCGTTTATTCCAAACTTAATTAAGCCTTAGGAAAGTAATTATTTGCAAATATATACCTGGGTAAGCACTGTCTATGCTGTACAGATACACCTCCTCCGCAACTCCTGGAGCACGCACTCCAGCTGCTCCATGCACTCCAAGCGTACCCCTCGCCTTCCACTTCCACCTCATTGTCTACTTCCCGCTTCATTTCCTGGAATTATCAGATTTTTATATTACTTATTTATCTTCTGTTCCGTTTTGGACTTTTTTTGACAACGGTGAGAAACCATCAAAAGGCGCATGGCTTTTTTGACGATAAAGAATTATTATACGTTTTTGGACCTATTAACCTCTTATCTGAGACAGAATAGAAAACCAGGCATACCAGGAGTTAATCAACACACGGTAATTATGTCTAAATCATGGGTGTTCACAAATATTTTCACATCGCATCTAAATCTAAACTCGGAAAATATATAACCTATAGATTCAACTATTACCTACGTACTATGAGTACGTAATGTGACTCCATGCGAGAATGAAATCAGTCAATTAGAGGGTAACATTTTTCGTACCTTTTACTTGCTTTCAAACTCAATAGAGTTTCAAACAAAGAGGTTCACCGATATAACTTTAATATAAATCAAGAAGCTTACCTTTTTATGCTTAAAATAAATTAAGTATCTATGACTGTTAAAATTACCTGCGGTAATTCTGTAGTAGTGGTGGTCGTCGTCGTTGTTGAATTTGTTGCTGAAGACAACATTGCTACTTGAACTATTACTAATATCCTGGAAAAGAAGGAAAATGTATCATTTTACAAACTAGAAATCACTCATGAACTACCAAAAATTCCTTATAGCGTGATTAAAATACATGAAAGAAGGAATCTGCGACTAACTAACGATGAACTAACAATAGACGATAAATCCTAAGACAATTTAACAAGCTGAGCAAAATGACTAATCTAACAACATGTAGACTCTCCTTCAATTTGTCAGTCTAGCCATAATTCACAAGCTCATACAATTTACGTCTCTCACGGATAAACGGGTAATCGAACCTTTATACACAAGATAGTCCAAAACCGACCATGATCATACACGGTTAAATCGGTGGGAAGTTTGTAACACTTTGTTTATCATTTACCTGATTTGGGCTTTATGTTTTAGGGTTGACACTATAAAGGTCGATTTGTTAATGAAACATTGAATAAAGATGTTAAAGAAAATACGCCAGGTCTAATAAGGTAAGCATAAGTAAGATTTTCGGAACCTAACATTATTGAAATTAATTAAAAACTAGATGCCCCAAAAATACGTCTTTGATAAAGCTTCGATGGAGAAAAGTAAACATATTTCGAATTCCAACATCCGTATACAGATGCACATTTAATAAAATTATCTATGAAAGCATCAACAATGTAAGTCATCGGGTCATCGGTGATTGGTCGCGGACAGCCCTGTGCGGTCTGCGCCCACGCAGTTCTCACCGCGTTGCGCAATCTGACAACTCCATTAGACGTTTGAGGCTGGAGCGAGCAACACCGCCCGAATGCACCCGCAACGCACTCCACATTAAAACGATCAAACGACTCTGTAAAACGCCCTAATGAACATCTTAAGTGGTTTATTAAGTGCCGATCGCCGTTATTTTTATGTTAAAATCGCTTCGTCTACTACAGACACATGAGAAATTATTTCGACTCTGAAGTGTCCCTCTATGACGAAATTTTAATGGCCCCCACACTATTTGCAAGTTTATGGTCATAAATAACCAACATTATAATTTTATTCCTATATAATTTATAGCTTTATTTTAATTGATTTATAGCTAAAGCCTGCCTCAAAGCGAAAACTTGAAAGCTTGCTAATCAACAATTTAAATTTTTCAAAATAAATGTACCGAGTTATTAGTCCACTTGATTGATACACGCCTACTTGGCATACGCGGAATAGAACCAATTAAAAATGCAACACGGTTCAATTCAAACATAGATACAAATCAAAATTAACAATGATAATTAACATTAACTAATGGCTTTCTTGTAAAATAAATATAAACATGTCAATAGTTCTAATTAGATTTACGCCGGCGACTGGCGGCGCGCGGCGGCCCGGCCGCGGCCAATTGAGCGCGGAAACACGCGCAAAGAATAACGCTTTATAAGGTGATGAACACATTTGAAAATAAACAAGAGAGCCTACAAGGAATTATGAGGTCGTTAGGGACGTCTTCACGATCTCGTCGAGAGGATGTTTATTTGACTTCCCAGGCATTTGAACAGCTAGCTCAGCATTACTGTATTTAAATTACAGATTACGATCTCAAATAAATAAACAAACCATGCGATAAGTCCATGCGAACATCATCTAAAATGGCATAAAACACTCAATAGCGTAGTGTGATATAAGCTTTACAGAAATAAACAGACACGCATGGCCGCAGACAATTTTAGAAGTTTCATCAGATTGATTTATGTCTAATTGTTATGTCATTGCCACAACTTCGTGAATAAAAGACGAAAATAGACACCAGGTCAGTATCCTTGCTGCGGCCATAACAGCGCATAATAAAACGAAGCGCTTTACTTTACGAAGTTTGTTCAAGAGGACTGTTATCTAAGAATAATTGCATCTACACAGGTTACAAATGGACACAATTCAACACTGCTATAAACAGTTAGATGCACTTGTGCACCGCCCCGGGATATTGGCCGTTACGGCTTAAAGCATCGGTAGTGAAATAACTTGTCGTTCTACAATGTCGTTTATGGACTTATAAACCTACTAGCAACATAAACTTTGTCAACACACAAGTCATTAAACAAAATTCGGTAGTTGGCTACCATTTTGGGGTTCCTATTAAAATGTTTGTCTCAAACATTGAACTGTGTGGACTTGTACTAGATACGACGGACAAAAGACATAAAATTAACTGACATCATGATTAATTCAGTAGACGGGCTTAATTACGAGACAGCCCTACACGGGCCGGGGTCCATAAAACCTGTTTCCGAACGCATAGGTAGGAGAGCAACATGTAAAGGACAATATTAAGATCACGGGGCTTCGCTCTTGACCTTATTTTTTTTATCCTGGCCCAGCGCGTGCGCCCTCGGAGTGAATGGGCCGTATAATTTCTATTTACTTTTACTATCAAAGGACTTTCAAGTAGTGATCATAAAAAGTTTACCGTTTGAACACGTAGGAAAATATTTATTGTGGACAAATGTTTCTACAACGGTCATTGTGCATGTATTTAGTTGGTACATTGTGTGCGCAGTTCACACGGTCGGAGTGACAGGAGGGTCCTTAATCGGAAGGCTTTGACTAAATTAAGTGGATAAATAAACAGTGGAACTGTGGTTATATTTTTAGTCTTGTTGAATGTATGAAAAATTCCTTTCTTCTCTATCACTTCATATTTGGTCACTGGTTAGCTGCATGTAGGTATTTAGGCTTAGTATTGAATTGTATACCACTAACATAATACCTATGAGACTTTCTAAACAAAAACCTGTCGATCAACTGCCTTTGCGACTACTGAATTTTAAGTTCATTTCTTCTTGCAAACTATGCAGATGATAGGTGTGCCCGTACCCGAAGAAATATTATACTGTACAACAGACTAAAACAGAAAGAATCCCTATAACATTTTTACTGTGAGGGGCACCCTTACCCAAAGACTTTGAAAAGTAAGTAGATTTATACCTCACAACAGACTAAAACAGGACGAATCCTGTTAACAGGTACAAATTACATACCACACCTACAAACAAAATCTAGCACAACAATAGCCCGTTACATAAACGATTACCAATGATCGACTAACCGTAATTCTCAGTTCAGAGTTGATGCGTCACGTCTTAGGAACCTACTTTGCACCTCAATCCAGTAAAGGCCATTAATGTCATATTACACGTCACTAGCTGGGAGGTAATCTGGTGTAATCACGTCTACCATGACGCAGGAGATCGCATGTTTACCGTAAGCTAGTGATGTGACTTTGTCTACTTCCCGTAGACTGTATAGGGAAATTATTTGCTACAGATTTAAGAGACTTTGATTTGTTTGTCGCTCTCGTCTTGGGTGATAGAGGAATCTATTATCAATTTGTACTTTATACCATGTACTTTGTATTATAATAGAAATTAAGCCTAGCCCTTCAAAACCAAACAGCTCAGCAAGACTTTATATGACTTTAATATCAAAAACGTTGTATTAGTGAGCCATCTATAGGGTAGTTGCCAAATTTTTATTGTAATGTCCGTCTGGTAGATTATTTTAAATCATTAGACACGTGTTTTTAATTTTCTTACAGAAACGAATACTTTCGTAGATATATTGATTTGAAATGTCGCGTGACGTCACTTCTATGTATATTTTATACGTAGAAATGACGTTTTAGCCATATAGCTTTATGACAGGGTCATCATCCCAATTATTTTTGACTAAAGTAAATTAATCAATTGTATTTTGACTATTTAAAGAACCAATTAATTAATCTACATGAATATACAAAAACTTTATCTACCTACCGGTTGTGGATATCGATTAAGAAATAATTCCGGAAATTGGTCAAGGTCGTATAAAATACCAAAGCCAAAAATATATCGCAGTACAGAAAAAGATATTGTTTACAAACACATCAGCTGTTTATTGCAACGAAAACTTCCTTGTAGCATCCGCAAAAGTCCCATAAAATATATCAATATAAAACAAATTTAATATCGCGGAAATCGGTGCGGATAGGTACCTTGAAAAATACAAACAACACTAACAAGAATGCTCGCTTACATTTGCCCGCTTACGTCTGCCCGTTTACGTTAGCCCGTCAAACAAAATGAGATAGTGCGGTGCCCACATTCACACACGTACGTTTCGCTCGTAAACGTACTGTTATGTAAGATTTATTGGGTATTGAGTTTGTAGTTTCACAGTTTCAGGCCCGGTGAATTACTTTTACCTAAATAGTTTAAATATTTTACTATGTCTTAACTAGAACATTTTCTATTTATTTGTATATATGTCGGAACGGTCATTAGTACGAGATTTCGATTTACTACAAAACGAAGGAATAACAACAAAATGAATAAAGATGGCGCGCTTCAAGAGTTAATTGTGACGTCATGTCCGCCTAAGAGTGGGGGAGATTGAGTGACTTTCAACATCGCAGAACAGCAGGCACTTTTGGCTGGGACTCCGAACGAACAACGACGCACTGGGAATGCTGTCGGCCGAATAATGATTGCAATCATCAGAATCAGTGCTGTGAAATTGTCATTGACATTATATTGTTTGAGATTATAACTGTGAATATTATTACAATGTAAGTGGACTAAACTTTGATGTATTTTGACCATTTGTGAACTTTGAAAGGGACTGAGACCTCTGAGTTTGTTTCGGCGTTTCTTCTCAGAATAGTCCGTAGGAAATGCCGACTCTGTGAAATTGTCATTGACATTATATTGTTTGAGATTATAACGGTGAATATTATTACAATGTAAGTGGACTAAACTTTGATGTATTTTGACCATTTGTAAACTTTGAAAGGGACTGAGACCTCTGAGTTTGTTTCGGCGTTTCTTCTCAGAGTAGTCCGTAGGAAATGCCGACTTAATTAAAATGCGAACAAGTAAAGGTGCACTGTCGAAAGTAAACGTTACTTTATTTACGAAGATTTAATTGTTTTATTACTGCATAAACATACCTCTACCGATATATATGACGAAGAGGGCTCTCGCTTGACATCGCCCATACCATCCTCCGACAT